GAATTCAGCGTGAGGCTCTGGGCAGGACTTGCTGCACCCAGGGCAAATTGGGGGTGGGGGAAAGAAAAACTGCAGCAAAAAAACCCCAGAATGAGATTTTTTTAATGTTTCACAGAGCCAGAGGCATCTTTGTGTTGGTGCACAGTGGGAAAAGCAGTTTGGTGCAAAATGACCAGGTGAGAGCCTGAGAGGGGCTTGGAGGGCCATAAATATCACAGTGAGATTAATTACAAGTTACATTTCTCTCTTTTTTTATACATTTTGAGCCCACAGAGGGTTTTGTCCTGTGCTGAGGTTCTCCTCAAAGCTGTCCCAGCAGAGAGGTGGCAGCTGCAGAGGTGACACTCATCACCACCAACACCCTGCCCTGTCACCACCTCGACCTGCGCCTGTCATGGCTGAAAACACAAAGATGCTCCTGATGGTGATGATTTTTTTTGTCTCAGCTCCAAATTTAATCCCTCGGAGCCAGGAACAGCCAGAGCAAACACAAAAATCACTGGGAGCACGGCTGTGACTGTGGCTGGCACAGGGAGTGTGACAGCAGGGACAGGAAACGTGGAGTTTCCATCCCATAAAATCCATCTCCACCCCCAAATCCAGGCTCCTTACACACTCAGTATTCCCTGACAGCCCTGCTTGGAACACTCCACGTTTCCCCAGCTTAGGGTCAAACCCTAAAAGCGAAACTACGTCCAAAATGAGCTAAAAATCAGAGTTGTGCCCTGCTGATGGAGCAGCGGGTGCTCCTCTCCCAGCAGAGCAAAGGCTGGGAGGCACCTAGTGGTGTCAGCAAGCACAGCAGAGCCACCAAGGCCACCCCAAAAGTGTCACCTGGGCCACTCACAGCCACTGCTGGATGCTGTCCCCAGCCCCAGCCTCACCCTGTCCCCTCTGGGAGCTGAGCAGAGCTGATCCATCCAAAAATGCAGCCAAAAATGCAGCCAAAAATTCAGCCAAAAATGCAGCCAAAAATGCAGCCAAAAATCCAGCCAAAAATCCAGCCAAAAATCCAGCCAAAAATCCAGCCAAAAATCCAGCCAAAAATCCAGCCAAAAATCCAGCCAAAAATCCAGCCAAAAATGCAGCCAAAAATTCATCCAGAAATCCAGCCAAAAAATCAGCCAAAAATGCAGCCAAAAATGCAGCCAAAAATCCAGCCAAAAATTCATCCAAAAATGCAGCCAAAAAATCAGCCAAAAATCCATCCAAAAATCCATCCAAAAATCTGTCAGGACCTGCCTGGGCTCTGCACAGGTCACCTTCCTTGTGGGCACAAGCTCTGCCAGCAGCTCTTCACTGCAAGAAGAACTCTCCCCACCATCCCACGGCTCCACACCTGGGATGAAGTCAGGAAAATTCCCAGCTTTTCCGGAGCTCCCGGGAGCAGCGCTCGTGGTTTGTGCAGCACGGATTGTGCGGCAATAGGAGAAGAGGAGAAATTCCGTGTGTTCCTCTCCCCTCCCTGCACCTCCACCCTCCAAATTAGAGCCTGGCAGCAGGCAGGGAGCTCAGGAAAAAGCAGCACAAAGTGATGGAACAGCAGAGAGCAGCGGTAAAACCCCCGTTCTTTCCGTGGGAATGAAGGAATTGGTGTTTTCCAGCAGGTGGGAGCAGCTGTCCCGGCACTCAGCATGGAATTCCAGCTCAGATCTGCCTGATTCCTCTCCTCACCTGAACCCTCTGCTTCGTCCCCATCACCACACGGTTTTCTCCCCCAGCTCCTTTGTGCCACCCTGCCCTGAACGGAGCCACCCAAGGACTTTTCCTTCAAAATCTCAAATTTCTGTGCAACTCCAGCATTTGATAAATGAGAAAGTGGGGGAGACACTTGAGCCACCTGTGAGGCTCCTCCTCACAAAGCCACACAGCCCTTGGGGGTAGGACAGGAACCTGTAAAACGCCCCAAATTTACTTTTGGTGTAAATAAAACCCCCAGCTCGGGGCTCTCCCAGCACTGCAGGGGCAGGCAGCAGTTATTTTTACAGTGATTCACTTCGAGCACAAACATTTACACCACGTCTACCAGATCTAACAACTAAATCTGTCTGAAACTTGCCATGTGGCAGAGGATGGATCATAGAAACCCCACAAAAAACTCCACTTCAGCTCCAAAAGGGAAACAATATCAAGTCTGATTGAAGGGTGAAGCTGTAGGAGATGACAGGAACAGCAGAGCAAGGCAGGCTCACAGCCCTTTTCTTCCCCTCTTTGTGGTTTTACTCCATCCCCCTGGATATTTCTCTCCTTCCCACCACTTTCTCAGAAGGAATAAAGTTTGGGAAGCTTTCCCTTGATGGGAACCCAGATATTTGCGATAAGATCTTGCCTGTTCATCCCGGTTTTCACAGCAAACACTCCGGTGTGTCCTTCAAGGGATTATTCCCAATTAACTCCTCAGCAGCTTGTCTGGACACCTCAATTAATTCCCACGGAAAGGCCTGCACAAGGACATTCTCTCCAGCATCTGGGATGATGTTTTTCCCAGATTTTTGTCACCCTGCTTTGCACAACCCCACCTCACCACGGCTGCAGTGCCTTGAGCACAGAAAACTTCTCCTGCTGCGGGTCCTGAAGGGTTCCACATTTCCCCTTCCCGATCCCAAAGTGCTACAGAGTGAATTCCTGCAGCCTGAAACTCCCTGAAACAAAGAGGGCTGGGAGTAAAATATGAAAGCCATTTGTAAATCATGAAATTCTACCCAAGGAGGAAGAGAGGGGGAAAAAAACCAACCAAACAACACCCAAACCCCAAGTTTATTTCAAAACAGAAGATTGGAGCTGTTTGCTTTTCAATGCCCAGGAGTGGCTTTATCTTGTGCCATCAGCGTGTCCAGGGCCTTTTGTCCCACAGCCTTGCACAGCCTGTTCTGTGTGGAATGAAAAGAGCAGGATCCCAGCAGAGAAGTGAATTTTTCCTGCTCCGGGGCAGCCACGCAGCTCCCGGGCAAGTGGCAGCAATTCCAAAGATGGAAATTGTGCCCGTGGTGTTGGAGCTGCACCATCCCAATGGCATGTGTGAAACAGCCCCGGAGCCTCTGCCCTCCTGCCTGGGAGAGCAAAGGGAAAGTGCAAAGAGTCACGAGTGGAAGCACCCAACAAGGAATCGCTGCCGGCAGGGAATGCCCTTGGAATCCTCCTCACGCTCCACAGCACATCCAAAGTCCTCCATCAGGTTTCTCCTCGTATTCCCCTCTAAATCCACCTTCAAACAAGTTTAAAAAAACCTTTAAACTGCCGACCAACGAGAAGCAGGATCCGAACTTCAATGGGCTTTGCTTTAAAATGAACAAAGAAAATAAACACACGGCGATAGGGAACATGATGGAGCTGCAGCTCGGGGGAATAAAACTGCTGCAGCTCCAGCCTGGGTGATTTATCACAGCCCCGAAACAAATTACTTCCATTTCTCACTGCTGCACACCCAGGGAACTCCCAAGTGCCAGGGGAGCGGTGCTACCAACACCTGGAGTGAGAAGTGCCGGAATTCCTGTCTGAGAAAGGGAAAGGAGGCGCAGAGGGATAAAATGAGATGCCACGAGCGACGCAGAGCGGAGCTTCACCGAGCACAGATGGTCATTAGGGGGAAGAAATAGCATTTATCTATAGGTGAGGATTCAGAGAGGCTTCTCCAGACTGAACAAAGCCTGGGAGAGCTTCCCCTCCACGGCCTGTGCTGATTTCAGGAGGCAGCGAAGCTGAGGATGAACGATGCTCTGAAGTGAAGTGACAGCCTGACAGCGCCAGCGGAACGTCCCCGAGACAGACACCACAACTCCCCGAGCACCGTCCAACACCAACTCCAACTGCGGGTGGTGACAGACAGGAAAACCCTGGGAACAGGAAACTCCTCTGTGAGTAGGTACCGCCTGCAACACCCAGAGCATCACCCAGAGCATCATCCCAACAGGTACCACATCACCCCGACAGGTACCACATCACCCCGACAGGTACCGCCTGCAACACCCTGAGTATCACCCAGAGCATCAACCTGACAGGTACCGCCTGCATCACCCAGAGCATCACCCAGAGCATCACCCCAACAGGTACCACATCACCCAAACAGGTACCACCTGCCCTGTGCTGCTTCAAAGCCTGACTGACCCCCAAAATCAGACTTGGGGGGTGTCTGCAGGCTGAGCAGAGGGGATGGGGGGCAGCAGAATGGGCTGGAAACACCAAAAATTGGGTGTATTTAGAACAGCTACACCTGGTGCCTCTATGAACCCGCAGAGCTGGTGGCTCCACACAGGCTGGGACTCACTGCGGGGGTTCCACTGGGTGGGATTCCCTGCAGGATTCCCTGCAGGATTCCCTACAGGATTCCCTATAGGATTCCCTACAGGATTCACTACAGGATTCCCTACAGGATTCACTACAGCATTCCCTACAGGATTCACTACAGCATTCCCTACAGGATTCACTACAGGATTCCCTATAGGATTCCCTACAGGATTCCCTACAGGATTCCCTGCAGGATTTCCTGCAGGATTCCCTACAGGATTCCCTATAGGATTCCCTACAGGATTCCCTACAGGATTCACTACAGCATTCCCTACAGGATTCACTACAGCATTCCCTACAGGATTCACTACAGCATTCCCTACAGGATTCCCTACAGGATCCCCTACAGGATTCCCTACAGAACTCACACTGTTTTCTGCTTTAGAGCCTCCCCCTAACCTCATCCTCCCTCCTCACACACCCCACGAGCTCCAACCATCGGTCTCTTCCCGCGGGCCCCGCTCAGGGTAATCCCTGGTCCCGGGGCACTGAGCACCGAGCACCGAGCACCGAGCACTGAGCACCGAGCACTGAGCACTGAGCACCGGGAACCGAGCACCGGGCCGTGCTGCCGCCTGCCAGCGCCCCCAGGCAGCGGCTGTCGGTGCGGCCAGGCCGGCGCTCCGTGCCCCGGGCCCGGGGGAAGGCGCGGGGGCCCCGCGGGCCGATGGGGCCCGGCCCCGCTGCCCGGCCTAGGCCGCGCCGGCCCCGCTCACCTGCTGGGCCGCTCCGCGCCGAACTCGGCCCCGCCGGACTCCGCCATCGCCGAGCGCCGCCGGTGCCGCGGGGGAGGCGGAGGGGCCGCCGCGTTAAAGGCGCAGCAGCGGCGGGGACCGGGAGCCGCGGGCTCCGCTCCGCGCCCGCCGGGCCTGGCGCCGCCCCGCCGGCACCGCCGTGTCACCGCCCCGCGGGAGCGCGGGCTGTCACCTCCCCACGGGGACCGGGGGCTGTCACCTCCCCACGGGGACCGGGGGACCGGGGACTGTCACCTCCCCACGGGGACCGGGGGATTGGGGACTGTCACCTCCCCACGGGGACCTTCCAGCCTTTGCTGCAGCCTGCCCTGGAAATCCCAGCACTTCCCTCGGGATTCCACCTGCGGGTCACTCACTGTCACCTGAGCATCACTGTCCCCTGTGGGTCATTCACTGTCACCTGAGCATCACTGTCACCTGCGGGTCACTCACTGTCACCTGAGCATCACTGTCACCTGCGGGTCACTCACTGTCACCTGAGCATCACTGTCACCTGAGCATCACTGTCACCTGTGGGTCACTCACTGTCACCTGAGCATCACTGTCACCTGAGCATCACTGTCACCTGTGGGTCACTCACTGTCCCTTGTGGTCACTCACTGTCCCCTGTGGGTCACTCACTGTCCCTTGTGGTCACTCACTGTCCCCTGTGGGTCACTCACTGTCCCCTGTGGTCACTCACTGTCCCCTGCCGGCCCCACCGCGTGTGCAGCCAGCCAGGACTGCGGTCACAGCCCTGCTGGGGACAAACCCTGCTGCCAGGCCACCTGGACCGTCCCGGAGCAGGACTTTTGGCCCAAAGCCGCAGGTGCAGGAGCAGCAGAACCCTCCAGAGGGTGCAGTCCTGTCACCGGAGCTCCCTGCGCGTCCCGCTGCCAAAGCCGTCCCCACACATGGTCGGCATCAGAGCCCTCCCAGCCCTCCCCAAAGCCACCGGGGCCACGCGGGGTCCGTGTAATTCCTAAAGCCGGCTCGCATCTGCTCCAGGGGGCATTCCAGTCATCAGTGGGAATCAGGAAATTATTCATAGCGCTGGCCCTGCCAACGGCCGGGGGTAGATTTCTTTGATTTCCCATGCTCGGTGTCCACATCTGTAGAAGGGAAAGGGGGGAATTCGTACATGAGAATAAACGCGCTTGGAAAGCCGTGAAAAGTCCCTTTCAAGTCAGCCTGATGAAAACTTCATGTTCTGGAGCTCTTTGCTTCAAGGAGAGCAATCTGTTTCGAAGAGGAAAAGCTGTGTATTTTTCTTATTTAAACCCCCTAAATGTGCTGGAGCATTAAAAATATTTGGCATTTCCACAGCACATTTCATTCCCAGCTCCAAATGCGTTTTACAGACATTCATTAATTAAGCCTGGCAAAACCTTGGGGAGAAAGGGAAGCAGTTCTTATTAATTTGCTATTTTGTGTTGCTGCAGCACACGGAGACCCCGGCCAGGACCTCGGGGACGCACAGAGGAGGAGATGTCAGCGAGGGAAGAGGCCACGGATGGACCCTCCTGGTGTTCCATTCCCTGCCCCTTCTGGAATTTGGAGCTGCAGGAGCTCCCAGCCAGCTCTGCCCCCTCTCCAGGGATGCTCTTTTTGTTGTTGTGATGTTTGGGGAGGGCTCCTGCCCCTCCTTCCCAACCCCTCGTGCTTGTCCCGCTTCCAGCTCGGCTTCATTTGACACCTTCCCCTTTCTCTGGGGTCACTTCATGGAATCACCGAGTTGTTTGGGTTGGAAAAGACCTCTGAGAGCAGCGAGTCCAGGCTGTGCCCGGTGCCCACCTTGTCCCCAGAGTGCCACATCCACGAGCTCCTTGGACACCTCCAGGGGTGGGGACTCCAAACCTCCCTGGGCAGCCCCTGCCAAAGCCTGACCACCTTTTCCACGAGGAAATGTTCCCAAAATCCACCCTGAGCCTCCCTTGAGGCCGTTCCCTCTTGTCCTGGTGTCCCCTGGGAGCAGAGCTGTCCTTGTCCTGGTGTCCCCTGGCTGTCCTCTCCTGTCCAAAATTCCCCCTGAGCCTTTTTTCCTCCTCCTGAGCCCCTTCCCAGCTCCCTCAGCTGCTCCTCACCCGATCAGCACACCCTGATCTGTGAAAGACTTCAAACAAACGCTTTCCCCCGTTATTTTTAGGTGCACCCCGACATCCCAAGTGCAGCAATTTCCGTGCCACGAAGGGCTGTGGTCCTCTCCATCCCAGGTGGGGCAGCCGTGGGAGCCGGCAGCGTTACACCTCTGCAGGAAAAGCGGGGCCAGGCTGGATGCTGTAAATGCCTTTCACATGTTCCCCAGATCCCAGTTAAACTGAACCCCAGAAGGTCTCTCAAAAGCAGGAAAAATGCATTTATAAGACCCTGGAAGGAAGATGAATTCTGTAACGACTCTGGTGACCAGGCGTGCTGACTCGCGTCATGTGGAGGAGGAACCAAGGGGGGTATTTCTTGTTATTTCATATTGCTGATGGGATTTTACCTCTGGCAGCAAATCCAGGAACTTTTTAGTTACCATTATTGTTTGATTTTATGGGCCATTTGATATTTATTTTTATTTCTCTTCATTATTTGTTGAGTGCACTTAGCCCCCTTCCCCGAGCAGCCTGCCTTATATCTAAGGTGAATTTTATGACCAGTGTTAGCACAGCAATCTGAGCAACTCACACAACTGTAATATATTTATCCCCTGCACTCAGTATATCCAGGCAGGCCTGGAATTCCTACTGTGGAGAGTCTGCCTGGAAAATCCCAACTCTAACTGGACTGGGTTAAAAAAAAAAATATTAAAAAAGAAAGAATAAACTCCAAACTATTTACATTCTTCTCCTTTCTGATCTTGATTTCAAGGCTTTGGGATCTATTTGAGTCATATTTTCACCTTTTTTTTTCGGGTTTTTTTTTTGGTTTTTCCCCTTGCAAAACATGAGGTCTCTCCTTGTACCTTTTGCTGTGAGCCAAGCTCTTGTGTATCCCACGGCTCCCACAGCTGGGCTTTAAAATCCACAGCCAACACTGGGAGAGTAATGACAAAATCATGAACTGGCAGCGCTGCCTTTCCCTCAGACCTCCTCATTTCACCCTCCTCAGGAGCAGGAATTCCTCGCAGCTCCCAGCACCAGCATCCAGGTTTTTTTTTTTTCCAATATTTTAAGATTTTTCCCAGCACATGGGTTGTTTTTTCGGGTTTTTTTTTCCCCAATTCTTGTTACATTTTTGGCTGGTTTATTTTCCCTTGTTGTGGAGGAGGCTGCCATGACCTCCCTGGCTGTTCCTGGGTGAAATCCCGGCCTGCCTGGAGGGTGTGGTGGGGTTTCTCGGTGCCAGCGTTTCTCCCTGCTGTTATTCCCTCGGGATTTCTGCTCTGCTGCTCCCTGCTAATCCCTGTGTAATCCCAGCCCGGGGAAGGTCGGGAGCACGGGCTGGGCTCTGGGGGATGGTCCAACCTTTTTCCCTGCCTTTTATCCCTTTGGATGGAGATGTTTGATCTGCTGTTCTCCTTCCCCCTGCAGCACCACCACCACCAGGTCCCACGGCTGGAATTCCACGCTGGAGACAGGCCTCCAACCCCAGGGATGTGGGAACCCCAGGGAAGTGGGATCCCCGAGTCCCTCTGCCCATCCTGGGATGCAGCCAAACCCCACAGGTCCCAAATTCCCCAGTTCCAGAGGCAATCCAACGCAACCAGCTCAGCTCTGGCACAAAACACCAGGAGAGCAGCATCCCTTCATCCCTTCTGTGCCAGGATGGAGCCAGCCTGGCTCTCCAGCTGGATTCCCAGCTCCAGGCAGCGTCCCTCACCCTACGGAGCAGCGGTGCCGCGTTATCCGGCACGGATAAAACACGGAGTGTGGGAGTGCTGTGCCCTGTGCTGGTGAGCAAACGGGAGCAGCAGGAATGAGCAGGACACGGAGCCACACTGGGTCTGGCCTGGGGGAAGGATCAACACCTTTCTGCAGGAATTTTGGGCTCCTTCCACTCCCACTTGGAGAGCTGACTCCCTCAGGAGCTGGCTCGCACTCAGCTGGCGGCGTTGGCCATTCCCAGCGCCAGCTGGCACCGGGGGAGGCCGGGATCCCACAGGGCCCCTCTGTGTCCAGCACATCCTGAAACCAGGGGTGGCTCCAGTGTCACCCCCAAAACCAGGGGTGGCTCCAGTGTCACCTCTGAAACCAAGGATGGCTCCAGTGTCACCTCCTGAAACCAGGGGTGGTTCCAATGACATCCCCCAAAACCAGGAATGGTTCCAGTGTCACCCCTCAAACCAGGGATGGCTCCAGAGGGGAACAGGTGCCTCAGCCCCACCCAAACCCGTCGGGAACCCATCTGGTTCCCAGCCACCCCATCCCACCCCAGCCCCCAGCCCAGCTTGGCTGCGCTCCTCACCTGGCAGGAGAACACAGAACAACCGCGCGGGGAAGCGAAGCCCCTCGCGGCCCGGCCAGCGGGGCCCGGCGTTCCGAGGAGTTCCAAGAAGCAAGGAAGGCCAGGGAATGGAAAATGCCTGTCACTGGCTCTGCTCTCCGGAGCTGCTCCCCTTCCCCACGGCAGCGCCAGGGCCCAGCAGCTGCGCCAGGCCCGGCCAGCGGCACCGCGCTCAACTCTGACATTTGAAGACGGAGGAATAATTTGGCTTCATTATCCTCCCCCCTTCCCCCCCGAGCGGTCCCTCGAGCCGGGCTGGAATGTGCGTGGTAGGGACAGAACCAATCCCATTAGCACGAGGAGATTGTTTTTCCTTTGGTTTTGTTGTCGTTGAATCACCCGTGGCTCCGGCTCGGTGGGGCAGGACTGGCAGAGGAAAGCCATGGATGTGTTTTGCCGTCCCTGGCGTGGTGCTGCCCTGCCCAGCTCCAGCAGCACCCTGGGGTTTCCATCTCTGAAGGCCAGGTGGGCTTTGTGGTGGCTCCAGGCACGTTTCAAAGGAGAATTTGTGAGGGAAAGGTCTCAGCTCCACATGCAGGGTCAGGAAGGTGCTTTGAGCCCTTGTCCAGCTCCCCATCTCACCTCCTCATCCTCGCTCCATCCCTGCATGGGGATTTATCTCCATTGGGGTTAAAAGTGAGTTTAGAGCTCTGAGTGTTGGTCAGGAATTCAGGATGGCAGCTTTGTGCTGGCAGGAGCTGGGCCAGGAGCAGGGAGAGGCAGCTGGAGCTGCTGGAAAATATCCTTTCCCAGCTGAGAGAGGAGCCCAGGCTCTGCTTCCATCACCTCCAGGAGCCCTGCAGCTCCAAACCCGCTGTTCCACCCAGCCTGGGGATTCTCATGGAAGAATGAGGATCATCATCTCCTTCCTGCTCCCTCTTGGTGTCCTGCAACATCTCGCTGGGGTGTGACTGGGAAGGGTCCAAATCCTCAAAAGAGGGATTGGCACGTGGACTTCTCAGAGTCCTTCTCCTCCCTCTGACCCAATCCTGGGGTTTCTGCCCTCTGAGGCATCCCAGGTGCTCTTCCCGAGCAGAGACATCCTGGAGGAACAGGCCCAGGGCTCCGGGACAAGGATACAAGTGCTGCTGAGGGGATTGGGATGAGAAATATGGCAAAAGGCACGGTCGGGAGCAGATGGCAGGAGGGGAGGGAAATCCATGCCTGGCCCAGCTCCTCCAGGCATTGTGTGAGCCTGGTGGAGCCAGGCCAGCTCCCAGCAGCTGAGATTTTCTGGAGGGGACAACAGCAGCCCAATGCAGCCACCAAGAGCAGCCAGGGGGGTGTTGATCCTGATTACAGCTGGTGAGACCCCCACAACCCTCAGCAGCCACAGCTGGCACGGAGACCGAGCCACAGCCGAGGGGGGGAGATGCCACAGGGGTCTGTGATGGAAGTCTGGGAAGTTGCTGGGTTTTTCCCACTGTTTGAGGCCGCTTCTGGCTGCAGAACCATCTGGGATTAGTGGTGGAGCTGTGGCTGGACGTGTGGACACATGGAGGTGACACAAGGACATAAAGGTGAGTGTGGACACAAGGACATCAGGATGAGCATGAGGATGTGAGGATGGACACAAGGACATGAGGACGGACATGAGGACATGAGAACAGACACAAGGACATGAGGACAGACACAAGGACATGAGGACAGACACAACGACATGAGGACAGACACAAGGACATGAGGACAGACACAACGACATGAGGACAGACACAAGGACATGAGGACAGACACAACGACATGAGGACAGACACAAGGACATGAGGACAGACACAACGACATGAGGACAGACACAAGGACATGAGGACAGACACAACGACATGAGGACAGACACAAGGACATGAGGACAGACACAACGACATGAGGACAGACACAAGGACATGAGGACAGACACAACGACATGAGGACAGACACAAGGACATGAGGACAGACACAACGACATGAGGACAGACACAAGGACATGAGGACAGACACAACGACATGAGGACAGACACAAGGACATGAGGACAGACACAACGACATGAGGACAGACACAAGGACATGAGGATGGACACAAGGACACAAAGACAGACACGAGGACATGAGGACAGACACACGGATGTGAATGTGGGCGCACAAAAGCTCACCCCAAGGACGTGACCCACCATGGGCTCAGGGTCCCCTCATGGCCTCACCACCACCGTGGGCTCAGGGTGACGCCACCACAGCCCGCTTTGCCCGATGGGGCCACACACCACGAATTCTCCTTCCCCTGTGAGCAAACAAAAGCGGCAGCGAGAAGGGAAAGGCGTCGGGTGGAAAAGGCCCCGGCTGCCTGCTGGGGGGAGTGGAACCAGCGAATTTCATGCGTCTCCTTCTTGTTAGAGTGGGGTCCCTCCTCACCTGCTCCTGGGCACAGTTTGCTGCACCCCGAGCCAGCAGGGAGGAATCTGACTCCAGTTTAAAGACGAGGAGCTTGTCCACGGTCTGCAGCCCGGCTCCCATGGCAGGAGGGGACGCTCGGAGCCGCTACCCGCGCTGGGCAGGGTTTGCCAGCTGTCTGCACCGATCTGGGGCCTTCCCACCTCCCCCGGCACCAACCCTGTGAAAGTTGTGCAGAAAAACACCCCCTGAGGGTGTCCCTGCCCCCTGAGGGGCACTCGGTGTGACCTGGGCCTTGCCAGGGGGTTCTTGTCCCCGAGTCATCAGATTGTGCCCACCTCAAAAGCTGCTCCGTGCTGGGCTCCATCTCTCAGCCCTTCCCTCCTATCCTGCCCTGCCACCCCTCTGCCCACCCCGAGGCACTGCTGAGGACGCCGTGCAAGCCCCCAAGTCCTGTTGAGGGCTGGGAAATGCATCCACAGCACCCACTGTGCCTCCCATGCCAGCCCCAGACGGCCGAGGCTGCCCGGAGCATCCTCCCGCACGGGCAGCGAGCTGGGAACCGCATCCCTCTCCTCTCCATGTAGGGCAAACCCCTCCTGTCCCCGTGGTGCCAGCGCTGAGCCACGCTCCCCTCCAGCTCCCGTGAGGGGCTGGCATCGCATCCCCACGGGGGGACAGGCAGGGGACAGCCCAGGCCTTTGGAGATCCTTCTTTGGCTGTGACCGCTGCCAAGCGCTCCGACATCCATCGCCAGCACCTCCGCAGCCCTGGCTCCGCATCCCGGGGCAAGCGGGCGGCGCAGGCAGCGCCAGGCGCGGACCCTCGGGGGCCCCGAGCGCTGCTGGCTCCGAGCTCGGGACCCCGCTGAGCTACTGAAGTGCTGCAGACGAGGCTCCAGCCCCTCGCGTGAGCTGTCCTGCCGTGCCTGGCACCGCCACAGCTCGGCTGTGCCGCGGGCACGGGCGCCGTGCCAGGACAAACACCCCGCGGGGAAAGGTGGGGTGTGCCAGCCCCTCCTGGTGCTGCGTTTGTGGCCGTGTGTGACACTGTTGGGACACTGCTGGGACACTGGTGTGTGACTCGGGTGTGTGACACTGCTGGGACACTGCTGGGACACTGCTGGGACACAGATGTGACACTGGTGTGTGACACTGCTGTGGCACTCCAGTGTGTTACACTGCTGTGACACTGCTGTGGCACTCCAGTGTGTTACACTGTGACACTGCTGTGGCACTCCAGTGTGTGACACGCGTGTGCACGGCCTGACTGACACTTTCCCTCCTGGAAATGGCATCCACGGGTGGTTTTGGGTGGGAAATGCCCTCATTTCCCACCCGTTCCGTGTGGAGCCCTCCCCGACGCTGCCTCCCGGCTTTCCCCTCCTCGCAGCTCTCGGGGGATGTTTTTGGGGTGCTTTCCCCACCGCATCTCAGTCTCAGTCTCTCAACCCAGCAGCAGAGAGGAGTTTTGCTCCGTCCCACACCCAACAGCCCAGCAGGGATTTCTCTCGGGTTTTCCAGAGGTTTCATCCCTGCTCACTTTCCCGAACGGGAACAGCCCCGTGCCCTCCTGCCGGCCCCACGAGGGGGATCAGACCTGCTCCCATCCTGCAACCAGCACCCCACGAAGGCACCGACTCGCCCAGCTCTGGTATAAACCTTTTATTCTATTCCCCCTCGCAGCTCAGGGCTGGGTTTGCCCTTTGGAGCCGAGGGATCCACGGCCGTCCTTTCCCCGGAGCTCCTGTCCGGGGATGGAGCATCACAGATTCCACCGAGCTTCACACGCGGCCGAAAAGCAACAACGAAAAGTGGACCCCAAAACGGACACGAGACCCCCTCTCCCTCCCCCCAACCCGGTTCCCCAAACCCAGATATGTTGGATGGGTGAATGTGATACGGAGCAGCACAAAACCGGTGGGGACGGGGATGAGAGCCCCCCGGCCCACCACGCCACGGCCCCCCGGGAGCCGCCGGCACACGGAGAGAGCCCAAAATCCCAGGGGAGGGGTCGGGGGTAATAAGTTAATCTGTACAGACGTGTTAGGTGACACGGGGGTGGCGGGACCGACCCCCTCCCGGCACGGGGGGGTCCCCGTGGGGCGCCGGGGGCCGAGGAGCCGCATGCCGGTGCAAATCAAACCACGAAACGATGCATGAAATCGGCTGGTGGAGAATGAGGGGGAGATGGGGAACGGGGAGACACCTCCATGCCCGGGGGCTGTGCCAGGGTGAGCCAAGGGGAGCCGTGCTCGGTCCCACCGCCCGCTTTGAGCCCAGGGGCGCAGAGGCCGGGTCCTGCCGTCAGCCACAGCCCGCAGGCTGCTCCCAGCGTCGGGCAGGGATGCTGAGCCCAGGATGGAGCCGTCCCAGCAGCTCCCATCTCCTGTCCGAGCCTGAAGTCAGGGGAAAGCCGCCTCATCCCCTACTCGGTCCCACCAGCATCTCGTTGGCACCGGGGCCAGCTCCCCGAGGGCATCGCGGAGCAGGGAGAGGAAGGAGCTATCCCAGGGCCCCTCCAGGGCTCCGCGAAGGGGCTGGCAGGGTGCTCGTGTGGGCACGGAGGCGGCGGGATCCGCTCCTGTCTCCGGCTGCCAACTCCAAATCCATTCGCCACGTTTCGGCTCCCCGAGGCAATCGGCTCCGGCCGGCGGAAGGGAGTTCCCAGGGCCGGGGCCGGCGCCTCGGAGGCTCAGCCCAAGGTGGGAGGCCGGGGATGTGCTGAGCCAAAGCTCAGAAGGCTGCAGACGCTCTCCATCCCCCACCGCAGCCGGCTCCCTCCTGCCCAGCGCTGGAGCCGTGCCCGGAGGGCTGCGGGGCCCCGGCGGCTCCGGGCGGGAGGAGACAGAGAGTCCCGCTCCGGGGACTGCTCCCTCCGGCCTCCCCGCTCTGGCAGCTCCCCTGATGGCTCTGCGAGCCGGGATCCCAGCTCACAGCACATCCCTGGAGCAGGCAGAGCCGCTGCCCGGCTCCTGGAGCCTCGTCCGGAGCGGCCGTGCCTGGGGAGGAGAGCGGGAGCCGGGCGGACCCAGAGATTCCCCTCTGGGAGCTGGGGACAGCCCGAGGGGCAGCGGAGCGGGGTCGGGGGCGATGCCACGGGGATGGTGAGAGGGAGGTGGAGGTGATGGGAAGGGGAGAGAGAGCTACAGGATGGTCTTGTCCAGGTCGACTTTGAGGGGCAGCGGCCCCGCGTCCTCCCCGCCGTGCGCAGGGCACAGGGTGACAGTGATGACGGGCGGCAGGGGGAAGGTGCCGGGGCCATCCAGGTCCTCCAGGTACTCCTTGTCCCCGTTGATGCTCAGAGGCTGGAAGAAAGGCAGAGACAACAGTGCAGCCCCAGGACGGGGGTGCAGGACCCGCTCACCCCCAGTTTGGGGACACGTGGGGTGCAGGGATGTCCCCCCCAGCCGTGCCGGGTGTCCCTGGGGGCCGCGCTCACCCCATACCTGGGTCTTGACGTGCTGCTCGGGAGCGGTCACCAGGCTGGCACAGCTGAGCCACAGCATCACCATGATGGAGAGGAAGAGGCAGGCGGCCAGGATCCAGCGAGGAAGGCCCGAGCGCCTGTAGCACCCCACCACCCCCCGCCAAAGAGAAGGGACGGGTTTATGGCAGGGCACGGGCTGGAAATTGGGGCTGGGGGGGATCCGCTCTGCCGAGTCCCGCAGGTCCCAGACCACCTACTTGGACATGCAGCCGAGGAAGTCGTGCTCCTGCTGCGGGGGCTCCGGGGGGTGCGCCTTGCCTTTGCCCCGCGGCTCCTTCACGGGGGGCTTGTCCCCCTTTGCCCGGGTGCCTGGGGGGGGAGAGGCGATGCTGAACCCATGTGGGGGCACCCTCCCCTCTCCCATCCTCCTGCCCCCTCTCCCCCGGGACCCTCTGCCCGCTCAGGGGGCTCAGAGGATCCCAGCAGGGCCCCACACAGAGCCCCCCACCCCTCATGGTTGGGGGTGTGGGAAGCTGATCAGACCCGAGGAGTGGGAAATTTGTTCAGCTCTGGAGAACTCGGATGGGAGCCAGGAGGGCTCGGAGGCTCCAAACCCCCTCCCAGCAGCCCGGACTCCCCCCCCCGCACCTGCGTGGGGCTGGGGGAGGCCAGGGCTGGGTCCCGATCCCGGCTGCGCTGGCTGGATCTCCAGTGCCTCGAGTGCTGGATACTCCATCTCAGGCTGGGACTGGGTCGGCAGGGAAAGAGGAAGAGGGAAGTGAGGAAGGGGGTCCCCACCCCTCTGGGCACCCACAGAGAGGGTCCTGGGGACGCCCCCACCTGAAACACCACGACTTTGCCATCATCTGCCTGCAGGTAGAAGGTCCAGGTGGAGGAGATGAAGCTCTGGGCAGAGCTGACAATGTCGTTGCAGAAGGTGGAGACCAAATCCAAGATGGAAAACGACGGCGTTTTCAGCTCCGGGCTCTGCAGAGAAGCGGGGACACCGCATCAGCGCTGTCCCCTCGTCACCCACCCCCGCGGGCACCGTCCCACCCCGAGGCTGGGCTGAGCCGGATCTGGGCTCAACCTGCTCCTCCCAGAGATGGAAAGGGATGTGCCAGGGCCACGGTCCAGTCCCGAGAGGGTCACCAAGCGAGGGCTGTGGTCCCTGGGGTAACCACCCAGCTCTGGGGCCATCACCCAGCCCCAGGACCGTCCCTTTGGGGTGGGATCACCCTCCTCTGCCAGAGACAAAGGGAGCGGAGCAGCCGCGATGCCGAGGGCGTTCCTCTCCTGGCAGCCTCTCGGTGCCCTGGATTCTTGGCCGTCGCGGCAGTTTGTTATTTTTAAAGCATCCCTGCTGGAATCCGCTTGGCTGCTCCCTGCCACTGGCTCCGAACATTTTCCGACAGCCCCTTGCACGGTCAAACCAGCAAACAGGAAATAAATAGGTCAGATTCTGTATCTAATTATTATGCTAAATCTGCTTTGCCTGCTTGTCTGGGAACCCGAGGAAAAATGCTTTGGGTGGGTGGAGAAGGGTGAGGGCCCTCCCTGTCACCCCCGGTCACCCCCAGACACTCATCCCTGGCCTCGGAGAGGGGCTGGGAAACGGGATCAGGCACCGGGAAGGTTTTAAAACCTTTAAAACCTTTAAAACTCAAAGGAGGGTTGTTCAAAGGAGCTTTTCACTCTTTTTACGGTGTGGATTCATCTTTGCCTGCACATGCATGAAGCCAAAAGCCTCTTCCGTGGGCCAAAGTCTAATTTAATTAATTTGGCAAAAGCTGAATTAATTAAATGTAGGAGGGAAAAGCGTTGCTAATTGCTGGGAAGGATAACAAACCAAAGCTGGGGGAATCTGCCACGATCCCCAGTCAGATCCTCTCAGCCTGGGAATTCCCTGTGGTCTCCCTGATTTTCACACTTGTGACAAAGCAGCCAGTGGTGGCCTGGATCAACCTGGCACATCTGGAGCTCCCATCCACGTGGATGGATGGATGGACGATGGATGGATGGATGGATGGATGGATGGATGATGGATGGATGGATGATGGATGGATGGATGGATGGATGGATGATGGATGGATGGATGGATGGATGGATGGATGGATGATGGATGGATGGATGGATGGATGGATGATGGATGGATGATGGATGGATGATGGATGGATGATGGATGATGGATGGATGGATGATGGGTGGATGATGGATGGATGATGGATGGATGATGGATGATGGATGATGGATGGATGGCTCCATGGAGCCATGGAGGGATGGATGGATGGATCCATTGATTGAATGGATGGATGGATGATGGATGGATGATGGACGATGGATGGATGATGGATGGATGGATGGAGGGATGGATGATGGATGATGGATGATGGATGGAGGATGGATGATGGATGGATGATGGACGATGGATGGATGATGGATGGATGGATGGAGGGATGGATGATGGATGATGGATGATGGATGGAGGATGGATGATGGATGGATGATGGATGGATGGATGGGCTGCACATGTGGGGTGTTCCCCCATCCCGAGGGAGGGGAGGGACTGCTCTGAGTTCCTCTGTGAGGAAGGGTTTCCCCATCTCCTTCACCTTCTCCTTCCTGCTCTCCTCCACCTCTGGCAGCTGCTTGCGGCACCCGGTCACGCACCCAAACTGCTCCTCTGCGTTGCCGTAGGCTTCGGCACAGGCTGGGAGAGAGGAGAGGTCAGGGTTCGGGGGTGCTCGATGCCCGGGACCCTCCCCACTGACACCCGGGCCGTGTCAATCCGCAGCCGCTTGTGGCGGGGCTGAGCGGGGCGGGACACTCTGGAGGGTGTCGGGTGTCGCGCTGCTCCCGGTGGGATGTGGGGACCCCCGGGACGGCGTTCGGGGCGCGGGGGCCGCTCGACCACCGGCTCCTCTCACCTGCTTCACACTCGGCTCTGGTGGTGTTGAGCTCGGCGCTCGCATCCACGAAGTGACAGATGGAGAACAGCCGGCAGCCCCGGTAACAGGCGTTGAGAACAGCATCCTGCGGCGAGGAGGAGGAGAGCGCGGAGCTGGCACCGGGCTCAGCCCGCTGGCTGAGCCGGACAACCCCCACGCGGCCCCCCGCACCCAGCCGGGGGGCACCGGGCAGCGCCAGCACCGTGGTGAGGGCTGGCACCCCAAAGCTGGTGGTCCCAGAGCTGCCCCGCAGCCCCCCGGCTGCACCCCACCGTGGGTTTGAACGCGGCCAAGTCCTCGTGGAGGGCGTGCAGGGTCCCCCCACCTCTGCTGGCACCAGCCAGGCCCTGGCATGGGCTGGCAGGAGCTGGGGGTGCACTGCTCTAGGGGAGGGGGAGAGATTTGGGGTGTGGGGGGCACACAGAGCCCACACGGGGGTCACCGGGAACGGGCGAGCTCGGGGTAAACGGGTGATGCTGCGGGGCACCCCAAATCACTGGGGATTCCCTCGCTGGGGGCACCCCCACGCTGCTGGAGGAGACCACTGGGGGTGCCCCGGTGCCCCCCATGTTGCTCCCACGGGGGGTGGCCCACTGTGGGGCTGCGTTGGCAGAGATGCCCGTCAGGGGTGTCCCCACTGCTCCTGGTGGCCCTGTTGCCTCTGCTGCTCCCCGTCCCCTCCAGCCGGTGCCCCTGGGGTCCCCATGGTGTCCCCCTGGTGTCCCCATGGTGTCCCCATGGTGTCCCCCCTGGTGTCCCCTCTGCTCCTGGTACTCCCAGTGACCTCGATGCTCCTGATGCTCCTCATGCCCCCAGTTCCCGCAGTGCCCCCAGTGCCCCCAGTTCTCCCCGTGCCCCCGATGCTCCCGGTACCCCCAATGCTGTGGATGCTCCCCAGTTCCCCCAGTTCCCCCCGTGCCCCCGCTGCTCCCGGTACCCGCTGTGCTGCTGGCGCTCCCCCCGCCGCCGGTGCCGCCCCAGCCCCGGTGTCCCGGTGTCCCGGACTCACGGCGGCGGCCCGGCGCTGCAGGCTGCGGCCGCACTGCCCGCGGCACCCGCCGGTGTCTCCCAGCTGCGGAGAGAAGGGGTCGGTGGCGGCGGCGGCGGCGGAGGCGAGCAGGGCCAGGCCGAGGGCGAGCAGGGCCCGGGGCCGGCGGGCCGGGGCCGCCATGGCGGGCGCGGAGCGGAGCGGAACGGAGCGGAGCCGAGCGCACCCACCGCCACCGCCGCCGCCGCCGGCCCCGCCGTGACGCGCCGTGCGCCGGGCGGGGGGAGCCGGGGGCGGGGGGAGCCGCCGCAGCCTGCCGCAGATCCACCGGCACCGGCACCGGCACCACGCGGGGATGATGAGAGAGTGGTGCGGGAGGATGGGGGTGCCCGAGCAGCGGGCGATGAGGGGTACCCCGGGATGCAGGAGAATTGGGGGGGTCCAAGGACCAGGGATGCCGGGGATTGGGGATTGCACGGACCCCAGGGAATGCAGGGGGACAAAGGGGACCTGGGGAGATTCACGGGGACCAGAGGGTGTGGGGGGACCGTGGGCTAAGGGGGGCCCTGGAGGGTTCAGGGGGACCGGGGGATGTGCAGGGACACAACAGGACTGGGGACCAGCGTGGGACTGAAGAGAACAGGGGGGGCTGAGGGGGTGGCGGGGATCCGGGGTCACACAGTGGTGTCACACAGAGGGACAGCTCTGCCTCAGTGCCCCCCACACACCAACCCCTTGTCCCCAGGGTCCCCAGCCGGTGTTAGACACCCTGTGCCACCCTGTGTGTCCCTCGAGGACTCCCCAAGTCACCTTCACGCCTCCCATCCTCACCCTCACTCAGGCCAGCGCTTTGAGCGGATTTACAGCCGCGATTTCCCAGGCTTTAAAGGACATTAAGGGACATTAAAGGACATCAAAGGAACCCCCCACGCCCCCCCTCACCCCTGCCCATTCCCCTTATTTATGGCAGCACCCCAAAGTGGGCCCGAGGGGAGGAGGAGGGGGAGGCCTGGGGGCTTCGCAAACCTCCGGCCCTAATGGGGAACACATGGCAAGACCCCGGCGCGGGGAAAGGGGGGGGGGGGGCGCCCTGTCCCAGCTCAGGATTGAGGGGGGCTCC